GAAGAGAAACTACAAACAGTGAAGGTAAGCTTATTACAAAAAACAAACAGCTATATTTTAGAGTTACATTTAGCCCTTAAACTTGAGTGTACTAGTATCTGTTCATACAAACCAACCCGAGATAAGAGGCATTTGTTTTTGTTTTCTTTTCTTCTTTCTTTGTTTCTTTTTCTGAACGATAATATGGTGCCTTTTTTTAAATGAAATATGAAACGTAATGTTCTAAAAAAATACACTTCAAATTTTGCAATTGGTTATGGCCAGACTGTAGGGTGCGGTCGGAGAACATATTAACCACCAAGATCTAACTTGATTTTGAGAAGAAAAGTCGTTACTATAAATTTTACAAATACCCCGAGTATTGCACAAGTCAATTAAGATATTTGTAATTCTGCGAAATGTTTTTAATTTTCTATTAGTTAGACAAAACAATGAAAATGACACTAACCCATCATTTCCCTCAGGTTTATAACCCCCGGACGACATACCCCAACCTCCTCCACCTCCTCCCCCATCCCTTCCACCGTAAGAAGAAGATTCATAACGTCCGCCGCCACCGCCTCCTCCACCATCCCTTCCACCGTAAGAAGATTCATAACGTCCGCCGCCGCCACCTGGGCCCCATCGGCGCATTCCCCTTCCCATCCCACCACCACCACCCCGTGAGGCCATATCACGGACCTCAGCAGGAACATTCTGTTCGGCTCCTTCAAGAAGCTTGATGAGTTCCGACACATGTCTTGTGTCTTGATCACCTAAAAATGTATATGCTACTCCTTTGGCCCCTGCCCGTCCAGTTCGTCCAATTCTGTGCACATAGTCCTCTACCCCAGTCGGGAAGTCGTAGTTTATCACCACCCTGTAACAACAAATGTGCATTAGTTGCATTAAAAAAAAATAAAACAATGAGAAGCTGAAAAAAGAAAACTAACGATACAAGACAACACACAGCTGAAATTCCCAAAAAGCCATTTTCTGTTTCACTTCTTTGAATTACATGTAAGCCAAAAAATAAAAAAAAATAAAAAGTTCAAGCACAAAGCAAAGCAAAGGACCTTATATCCTTAATGTCCAGTCCACGAGCAGCAACATCAGTGGCTACAAGCACAGGGGACCTTCCAGTGCGGAATTCATTCAACACGTGATCCCTCTCACTCTGACATTTGTCGCCATGAATAGCAGCAGCTCCAAACTGCCGGTTTAAATTATCTGCAAGCATGTCACACATTCTCTTTGTAGAGCAGAAAATTATTATCTTCGATCCAGGTTCCTGGGATCTCAGTATCTCTAACAGGCGCCCCCGCTTATCCATGTGGGCCAAAACTTCAACATGCTGTGACATCAAAATCATGCTATTCAGTTAATAAATACGAGAGTCAGGAATGATCACAAATACCCACCTTTGAGGCTTATCCTAGAGTTTGTTGAGAAATACAAATTTTCTTATGTAAAAAATTGCAAATTACTGAGAGTAATTTGTGCATGCATAGATAAATAAACCCAAGGGAAAATTTATACCTAATACAAACTACAACTTCTTGTAGCTAGGCTGAACCTAAAGAGTAAAGACTAGTTTCCCTTAATCCACCACAAAACCTCCCACAGACCAAGAAGATAATCTTACCATGCACTTAAGAAGATAAAACTAGAACAAGAAAGATTTTTATGTTTTACCTGTGTTATTGCCTTGTTTGCAGCAAGCTCATCAACATTTCCAATATTAACCTGAACAGGGTTGGCCATGAAATCAGCAGCAATTCTTCGTACCTCTTTTGGCCATGTAGCAGTATACATCAGCGTTTGCCTACGAGATGGGACTTCTTTCACAATTTTCCTTATCTGAGGTTCAAAACCCATGTCCAGCATCCTGTCCGCTTCATCTAACACTAAATAAGACACTTGAAGGAGACTGACTCTCCTCATCTCCAAAATATCATTCAACCGACCAGGAGTAGCCACCACGATGTCCACACCTCTGTCTAGGTCTTTCAACTGAGGACCTTTAGGAGCACCTCCATACAAACACTTCATTGGACAATGATGAAAACAAGATCAGCAAGAAGCCCGGAGACATCAATACTCATATAAACATTTGTCTTACAATGCAAACCGTGTTCAAGGCAGATATACACGCACACATACATAGCAATCTAGCCGACTGGAAACAAACACAAGACATTACGAGATCCCAAAAAACATACCCTATATGGAATATATAACCAGGAAGAAAAAAATAAACATTTCAGGCATAAGTATAAAGAAATAATACAAAACTAACACAGAAAGTTAATGACTATGTAAAATAATATAAAACTAACACAGAAAGGTTAATGACTATGCAAATGTAGTAAGCAGATTCATTAGGCCGAAACAAAATTTGCAGAACACTATGAGGACAGCAAAACATACTGTACAAGATATCTTTGATGATTTTCCAAACTTCACAGCTTCATCTTGTATTTGCGTCGCTAATTCTCTTGTCGGTGAGAGCACCAATACAGTTGGACCCATTTTAGGATTATTACGCTTTTCTTTCAGATGCATAAACCCAGGAATCAAGTAACCCAAAGTCTTCCCAGATCCAGTCTTTGCAATGGCCACTATATCACGTCCTTGAAGAGCAACTGGCCATGATTGTGCCTGGATTGGGGTTGGTGCCGAAAAACCAGCAAGTTGTGCCTTTAATAGAAAATTGAAATAATGAATTATCACTTAAAAGCTTCGCCAAAACTTTCTACAATGAAAAGGAACAATAACATAAAAAAATCTGACCGCCTGGTTATAAATTAAGCAAGTGGCTGAAAAGATAAGTATCATTATCTGAACATAGATGCCTCTATTCTACAGACAAAGGGCATACCGAATCATACCAAGAGACATCCAGGAAAAGCTTGGATGATTCGGAAAGCCCTTCAAAGAAATTGGTCACCAATAATGGCGTATCAAATTATATGGTAACCATAAAGAAGGGCAGCACAGTGTACGACATTTGGCTCCCCCAGGAGCAAATATCGCACCTGCAACAAAAATTATAAATGGGAAAGAAAATAGCACAAGTTCTTATCCACAGTGAACCTCCAGTTGTATCATATATCAGTGTGTTTCTGTATACAGCACTCTAAAAATTCAATATTATGAGATGCATTCATACCTCTCTTAAAATCTCAGGAGGAAAACCAGTCGCTCCAAATGAGGTGAAAGGTAGGGGAACCTTATCTCCCTAGACAATTGAGTAAAACCATCCACTTAAAAGTTATTAAGACAAAGTTTCAAATACACATGTCAGAACCACAACTGTAAAAGAGTGATGTGATAATAACCATAGGATGTAATATAATACCAAAAATGATGGTGAATCCATAAAATATACAGTAAGAAAGACACCGAAATAACTGCACCAAATTAAACAGGCTTGAACAAAGTTTGGATCACTTAGACTCAAATTTTGACCGCAGAATAATAAAATCTGAATAAAGATCCATAGAACTCCACATAAGCATAAATAATGTTGATAACTTCTGGTAAGGAGATCACAAATATATTCTTAAAAAACCATAATCTGAAAAAAGCTGCAGGTATAGATGTCAATATCATTATATCAAACAATATGGTCTTTTATGTTCCTCAAAGATTACACCCACAGTTTAGCTTTTAAGTAGCATAAGTGCATAACAGATATGAGATACCCATCCTCAACTAAACATGTTGCCAACAGTAGACAAAGCCATATAGGTCATTTCTCATATGCTTGAATTGATCTGGCCAGTTAAGGTAAAAACTAATCCAGAAAATAGAACCACCCCTACAAAAGTTGAAGCAAATTTGTAGGAGTGTGTGTTTGAGCTTACAGTAACAGTAATTTCATGACGCCGACAATAAGCCTCAGCAGACAAACCAGATTCTGCAACTATAGATGCAGATGCTCTATTTGCAGCAGTAGTCGTCCGAACTGACTCTTTGACTGAATAATCTGAAGCGGTCTGACCAGTCTAATTTCAAATAGAAGAAAGAAAAAATATACCAAGTAAGTCGTTACTAGATTAACAAATACCAAGCTTTTGCAAGCACAGCAAATCTAATGGAACAAGAAATCTAATTACATCAGAGCCCTCAATATAAATTTTTGCACAGACTTCATAAGAAAATTAAAGATTAGAAATAAAATCGACAGTCACTCGAAAGACCACTTGTAGCCTATCGGTGCTAGTTAGGAAAAGGAGCAAAAATCAATAATTCTCCACTCAATATGAAATATTTGCAAGTACTATATAACATAACTTTCTATTATAGTGGCAAACTAAGCATTCAACATTCATGATAACGAATACAAGAACCATTTCAGGCACCTGATGCGTTCCAGGTTCTGAAGCAACATCTGTAGAGCAAGCATTGTTAGTTTTGTTATATTTATCTTCATCATCCTTTCCAGAGTAGTGTCCCTTGGTTTCTTCAACTGGGGAACCCAA